GAGAATATTCTGTGTCACTATCACATGAATCAGCACTCTCCTTCCTAAACATATATATTCCTCTCTACTGTCATTGCCCAAATCACTCTAGTCACTATCCAAAGTGGGTAAAAAGCTGTCGGCACCCACTTTGTGTGGCAAGACCAGACACAGAAGGCACTGCTTTATCATGAGGTGAACTAGTGCTTACTTCATTCCTTGTTATACCATCATTGCTGTTCCCTTCAAAACTCGAAAATTATGTTCTATTATCATCATCCTTAATGTCCCTGGTATCAGTATTGAACATCATTACTTGGATTTCACTGGAAGAAAGGTTAGTGTCAGCCATCCATGGTTAGCCTATATTGAGTCCTGGAAATGGGAAGTACAATGCCTGCACTTTAAAGGAGGAGTTTGGGATATTGGCAGTTTGGAGGGATATGTTGTGTATCTTTATATGTATATGCTTGTAAACTGTTGTATTCTGAGCACCTCTGCAAAAACAGTGATAATGTCTGAGTGTGGTGAAAGTGTTGAATGATGATGATGAAAGTATTTTCTTTTTGGGGATTTTCTTTCTTTTTTGGGTCACCCTGCCTTGGTGGGAGACGGCCAACTTGTTGAAAAAGAAAAAAAAACATGTACAAGGTATACAAGCCTAGCTGACATCAATGACATACTATTATATAGAAAGCCCCTTGTTATGCAGAGCATTTTGGGTAAATTAGGTCAGTTTTGTCCCAGGATGCAACCCACTTCAGTCTACTAACACCCAGGTACCCATTTTATACTGATGGGTGAACATGGACAACTGGTGCAAGGAACCATGTCCAATGTTTCCACTCCTTTACTGGGAATCGAACCTGGACCCTCACCAAGTTAAGCAAGAGCTTTCGCCACCAGGCCATGGGGCACCTACACTGCCCTGAATATACCCACATGGCCTAGATTTTTTCCTAGGAAGGAGGCACAAGGTAGGTATTGACCCAAACAACACAGCTGAGACTAAAATGGCAGCACATATTAGTATATTGGACACATGACAGCACTTGCATTCTAGTGCATTGAACACAGTTTAAGGGTTAAACTAAACTCTATTCATTCTTTTGTTATCGAGGATATACAGTGGTACTCCGGATTTCATACTTAATCCGTTCTAAATCCGAAACGTACGAAAACCAAAGTACAGTGGACCCTCGGGTATGTATTTAATCCGTTCCAGAGAGCTAGCCTTCAGCCAAATTAATTTTCCCCACAAGAAATAATGGAAATCCAATTAATCTGTTCCAGACACCCAAAAGTATTAAACAAAATCATTTTTTTACATGAAATATACATTTCCCTACACAGAAAACAATGATATATGCACAATAAACAATACTGAAGTGACACTTATTTTTATTGTGGACTTATTGATGAGTAATGAGATGGGAGGAAGGGAGAGGATGAAGGTGTACTAGTGTTTGGAAGGGGAATACCTTTCCATAAAGACTTCAGGTAACAAGTCCTTTTCTGGGGTTACCTCCCTTCTTGGTTTTTTAATGCCACTGGGAACAACTTGAGAGTCACTGGACCCCTGTTGCACAAAATATTTGTCCAGAGAGCTCTTTCTCATGTCCCTTTAAGATTTCCCTAAAATGGGACACAAGAGTGTCATTGTACATGTTGCCAGTACGGCTTGCAACAGCTGTGTCAGGATAATATTCATCCATAAATTCTTGCAACTTTGTCCACATTGTACACATTTCCTGAATCTCAGAAGCACATTCCTGAGCTGTGATTGTGTTATCGTCATCCTCCACCAACGCTTCCACATCCTCACCACTAACCTCCAACCCCATGGACTTTCCCAATGCCACAATAGATTCCACAACTGGCATAATCTTCTGAGGGTTAGCCCAAAACCCTTCAAAATCCCTCTCTTGTACACATTGTGGCCACAATTTTCTCCAAGAAGAGTTCAAAGTCCTGCAAGTCACTCTCTCCCAAGCCTTACCTATAAGGTTTATGCAACTGAGGATACTGAAGTGATCTTTCCAGAACTCTCTTAGGGTCAATTCAGTGTCTGAGGTCACTTCAAAGCACCTTTGAAACACTGCTTTGGTGTACAGTTTTTTGAAGTTTGAAATGACCTGCTGGTCCATGGGCTGGAGGAGAAGAGTGGTATTAGGAGGCAAAAACTTCACTTTGATAAAGCTCAATTCCCCCGGAATTTGCTCTTGCAGGATGAGCAGGAGCATTGTCCATTACCAAGAGGCACTTGAGTGACAATTTATTTTCTAGGAGGTACTTTTTCACAGTGGGACCAAACATGTCATAGAACCAGTCCAGGAAAATGTCCCTAGTGACCCATGCCTTACTGTTTGCTCTCCACATCACACACAGTTTAGTCTTGACAACATTGTTTTTCTTGAGCACTCTGGGAGTTTCAGAGTGATAGATGAGTAAAGGCTTCACTTTGCAATCCCCACTAGCATTACTACAAAATATTAGAGTTAGCCTGTCTTTCATAGGCTTGTGGCCTGGGAGTGCCTTTTTCTCCTGAGTAATGTAGGTCCTGTTTGGCATTTTCTTCCAAAACAGGCCTGTTTCATCACAACTGAACACTTGGGGTTTTAATTTTTCAGTGTCTATGTACTCCTTAAAGTCCTGCACATATTTTTCAGCCACTTTTTTGTCAGAACTGGCAGCCTCACCATGCCTTATCACACTGTGTATGCCACTACAATTCTTAAATCTCTCAAACCAACCTTTGCTGGTGTTAAATTCATCAATAGCAGCACTATTTGGAGGCATTTTCTTAATGAGATCCTTATGCAACTGTCTTGCCTTTTCACATATTGACTGAGAAACACTATCTCCTGATAATTGTTTCTCGTTTATCCACGCCAACAACAGTCTTTCCACATCTTCCAGTATTTGTGATCTCTGTTTTGTAAGCATACTTGCACCTTTTGCAACAACAGCTTCCTTGATTGCCTTTTTGTTGGCCAAGATAGTAGTGATGGTTAAATGGGGTTTGTTATACAATCTTTCCAACTCCAAGATACGCGCTCCACTCTCATACTTTGCAATTATCTCTTTCTTTAATTCAGTAGTACATCTCACCCTTTTTACCACAGGGTTGGCACTAAAAGCTTTCTTGGGGCCCATGGTGGCTTATTTAGCAGTTACAAGCACTAAAATCAATGGAATAATACAAAATATATTGCATGAACGGGTGGAATTGTCCTCACTGGCTTTGTAAACAATAGCACACTGGCTGTATATGGAGTGAGTGGCCAGGCCTGCTCAGACCACGTGGACACATTTGGAACAAAAGCCCTTAACTGAGTTATTTGGCATTAGCCGAGTCAATATTTTTACGCCAAAGCGAGCCATTAGCCGATTTTGGTGCTAACCAATGAAGCCTTTATTTCCCATGAGAAATAATGTAAATAAAATTAATCCATTCCAGACATCCAAAAATATTAACAAAAATACATTTTTTTTAAAGAATAACTATAGTTTTACATACAGAAAGCAATGAGAAATAAATATAAAGCACTAATGAAATGGATAAATGAACATTTAAATCACTATTACATACCTTTATTGAAGACTTCTGTTGGCATATGGAAGAAGGCGAGGAGGGGAGAGAGAGGAGAGCTTATTGTTTGGAAGGGGAATCCCCCTCCATAAGGACTTAAGGTATCAAAGCCCTATCCAGGGTTACTTCCCTTCTTTGTCTTTTACTGGCACTGGACCCCTGTCGCACTAAAAATCTGTCCAAAGAGCTCTGTTTCTGGCGTCTCTTTAAGATTTGCCTAAAATGGGCCTCATCATGCCTTACAACACTCTGTATGCCACTACGCTTCATGAATCTGTTGAACCAGCCTCTGCTGGCCTTAAATTCACTAACAGCAGCATTCATTCCAGGCATTTTCTTTACGGGATCTGCGTGCAACTACCTTGCCTTTTTTGCAAATGATTGATTCCACAACACTATCTCCCTCTAACTGTTTTTCATTGATCCACACCAACAACAACTTCTCCTCATCTTCAATTGTTTGTGATCTCTGTTTCATTAGCAAATTTACCCCATTTGCAACTTTAGCTTCCTTGATTTCTACTTTCTTTGCCAGGATGGAACAGATTGTTGATTTCAACTTCCCATACGTCCTGGCAAGCTCAGCTAAACGTACTACACCACTTTCGTATTTTTCTATAATCTTTCTTGAATTCTATCATGTTTCTCACCTTCTTTACCAATAGACTGGCACTAGGAACTTTCTTTAGGCCCATGGTGGCTTATTTCACAGTTGCACTCAATAGTTAAACACAAAAACAATGGATTATTATGAAATGTTTCGGATGAACGCGCGAAGTAATGCTCACTCGACCAGTGACAAAAGCCGTAATGAGACACGTACGCATGAGTGGCAGCTTCCCGGGCAGGCGGACGCATCTGATACGTATGATTTCCTGGTAGAGGTATGAAATCTGGACCAAAATTTCGCCCAAAAAAGTGGTCTAAATTGAAAACATATGATATTCGGTGCGCACGAAATCCGGAGCTCCACTGTACATTAGATATGCTGCATACCTGCAGAGGTTTACCTGGAGAGGGTTTCAGGGGTCAACGCTCCCGTGGCCCGGTCTAAGACCAGGCCTCATAGTGAATATCTTCAGATACATTTTTAGCATTTGTCTATTCTATCATTTTTTGTTCTTAATTGTACGTATAATAATATGAAAATTAACTACAGATACTAAAAATAAAATATATTTTTCTAAAACTATCACTCCAATTGAAGTACCATTTTTTATATTAAAGGTTATCTCATAGGATTTAAAAAAAAAATTGTCAGCAAAATATTTTGACAAATTACTGAATTCTTAATAAAGAAAGTTGACGTAAACCCATTAAGATCATCCTGTTGTTACCTAGAGTCTGGCCTTGAATTTAAAATTTTGTACTTACAAATCATCCTATGTTGTTATCTAATAAAGGTCTCATATTTATTTAACATCTACAGGGTATTGACAGTAGTGGAGATAGGCCCACTTAACATTCGACAGCTGTTACAAGTGAGTGACAGTGTGGTGAAGATATACTTGCAGCCTCTCCTGGATCATTCTGCAGTGACACTTGACAAAACTCTTGAAGTCACCCACGGCTCTCTTAATGATGTATTTGTGGTAGTCAACAATCTTGTGAAGGACATTGTCCAAAACATTGCTGAAGCTTATGGTACGTATGCATATTAACCAGAAATCCACACTTAGGAGAAGAATGTTAGGATGAGGTTTAGACCCATCCTTGGCCATTGTCCAAGATGTAGTATGTGGTATGCTTATATATACAAAGCTATACAAAGATGTATATAATATGCTTATATATATACGTATAATGTATACATATGCACAGCGATACACATGATTTCATACTGTATCATCTGTTGAACAGTTTAGGAGCTACATAAGAATAGGCTCTTTCTGCATTGAACCTTATAACTTCAAGTGTTTATATATTTTTTTTTTTTAACAAGTTGGCCGTCTCCCACCGAGGTAGGGTGACCCTAAAAGAAAGAAAATCCCCAAAAAGAAAATACTTTCATCATCATTCAACACTTTCACTTCACTCACACATAATCACTGTTTTTGCAGAGGTGCTTAGAACACAACAGCTTAGAAGCATATATGTATAAAGATACACAACATATCCCTCCAAACTGCCAATATCCCGAACCCCTCCTTTAGAGTGCAGTCATTGTACTTCCCATTTCCAGGACTCAAGTCCGGTTACATAAAATAACCGGTTTCCCTGAATCCCTTCAATAAATATTACACTGCTCACACTCCAACAGATCGTCAGGTCCCAAATACCATTTGTCTCCATTCACTCCTATCTAACACGCTCATGCACGCTTGCTGGAAGTCCAAACCCCTTGCCCACAACACCTTATTTACCCCCTCCCTCCAACCTTTTCGAGGACGACCCCTACCCCGCCGTCCTTTCCCTACAGATTTATATGCTCTCCATGTCATTCTACTTTGATTCATTCTCTGTAAATGACCAAACCACCTCAACAAACCCTCTTCAGCCCTCTGACTAATGCTTTTATTAACTCCACACCTTCTCCTAATTTCCACACTCCGAATTTTCTGCATAATATTTACACCACACATTGCTCTAAGACAGGTCATCTCCACTGCCTCCAACTGCCTCCATGCTGCAGCATTTACAACCCAAGCTTCACACCCATATGAGAGTGTTGGTACTATTATACTTTCATACATTCCCTTCTTTGCCTCCATAGATAACATTTTTTGCCTCCACATATACCTCAATGCACCACTCACCTTTTTTTCTTCATCAGTTCTATGAATAACCTCATCCTTCATAAATCCATCCGCTGACATATCAACTCCCAAATATCTGAAAACATTCACTTCTTCCATCTCCTCCCCAATTTGATATCCAATTTTTCTTTATCTAAATCATTTGATACTCTCATCACCTTACTCTTTTCTGTGCTCACTTTCAACTTTCTACGGTTACACACATTCCCAAATTCATCCACTAACCTTTGCAATTTTTCTTTAGAATCTCCCATAAGCACAGTATCATCAGCAAAACGTAACTGTGTCACTTCCCATTTTGTATTTAATTCCCCATAATTTAATCCCACCCCTCTCCTGAACACCCTAGCATTTACTTCTTTTACAGGCCCATCTATAAATATATTAAACCACCATGGTGACATTACACATCTCTGTCTAAGACCTACTTTTACCGGGAAGTAGTCTCCCTCTCCTGTACACACCCTAACCTGAGCCTCACTATCCTCATAAAAACTCTTTACAGCATTTAGTAACTTATCACCTATTCCATACACTTGCAGCATCTGCCACATTGCTCCCCTATCCACTCTATCATATGCCTTTTCTAAATCCATAAATGCAATAAAAACTTCCCTACCTTTATCTAAATACTGCTCACATATATGCTTCAATGTAAACACTTGATCTACACATCCCCTACCCAGTCTAAAACCTCCTTGCTCATCTGCAATTCTACATTCTGTCTTGCCTCTAATTCTTTCAATAATAACCCTACCATACACTTTTCCTGGTATACCCAGTAAACTTATTCCTCTATAATTTTTACAATCTCTTTGTCCCCCTTCCCTTTATATAAAGGGACTATACACGCTCTCTGCCAATCCCTAGGTACCTTCCCCTCTTTCATATGTTTATTAAATGAAAATACCAACCACTCCAACACTATGTTCCCCCCTGCTTTTAACATTTCTGTCATGATTCCGTCAGTTCCAGCTGCTTTATCCCCTTTCATTCTACGTAATGCCTCATGCACCTCCCCCACACTCACATCCTGCTCTTCTTCACTCCTAAAAGATGATATACCTCCCTGGCCAGTGCATGAAATTACCGCCTCCCTTTCTTCGTCGACATTTAAAAGTTCCTCAAAATATTCTCACCATCTACCCAAAACCTCCATCTCCCCATCTACTAACTCCCCTTCTGTTTTTAACTGATAAATCCATTTGTTCACTAGGCTTTCTTAACTTGTTTAACTCACTCCAAAATTTTTTTTATTTTCATTAAAATTCCTTGACAGTACCTCTCCCACTCTATCATCAGCTCTCCTTATGCACTCTCTCACCACTCTCTTCACCTTTCTTTTACTCTCCATATACTCTACTCTTCTTATAACACTTCTGCTTTGTAGATACCTCTCATAAGCTACCTTTTTCTCTTTTATCACACCCTTTTCTTCATCATTCCACCAATCACTCATCTTTCCTCCTGCCCCCACCCTCCTATAACCACAAACTTCTGCCCCACATTTTAATACTGCATTTTTAAAACTATTCCAATCCTCTTCAACCCCCCCACTACTCATACCTGCACCAGCTCACCTTTCTGCCAATAGGTGCTTATATTTCACCCGAACTTCCTCCTCCCTTAGTTTATGCACTTTCACCTCCCGCTTACTTGTTGTTGCCATTTTCTTCTTATCCCATCTACCTCTTACTCTAACTATAGCTACAGCTAGATAATGATCCGATATATCAGTTGCCCCTCTATAAACGTGTACATCCTGGAGCCTACCCATCAACCTTTTATCCACCAATACATAATCTAACAAACTACTTTCATTATGTGCTACATCATACCTTGTATATTTATTTATCCTCTTTTTCACAAAATATGTATTACTTATTACCAAACCTCTTTCTACACATAGCTCAATTAAAGGCTCCCCATTTTCATTTACCCCTGGCACCCCAAATTTACCGACTACTCCCTCCACAACATTTTTTCCCACTCTAGCATTAAAATCCCCAACCACAAGTACTCTCACACTTGGTTCAAAACTCCCCACACAATTACTCAACATTTCCCAAAATCTCTCTCTCTCCTCTATACTTCTCTCTTCCCCAGATGCATAAACGCTTACTATAACCCACTTCTCACATCCAACGTTTATTTTACTCCACATAATCCTTGAATTAATACATTTATAGTCCCTCTTTTCCTGCCATAGCTTATCCTTCAACATTATAGCTACTCCTTCTTTAGCTCTAACTCTGTTAGAAACCCCTGACCTAATCCCATTTATTCCTCTCCACTGAAACTCACCCACCCCCTTCAGCTTTGTTTCACTTAAAGCCAGGATATCCAGCTTCTTCTCATTCATAACATCCACAATCATCTCTTTCTTATCATTCGCACAACATCCACGCACATTCAAACTTCCCACTTTGACAATTTTCTTCTTATTCTTTTTAGTAATTTTTACAGGAAAAGGGGTTACTAGCCCATTGTTCCTTTCATTTTAGTTGACTTTTACAACACGCATGGCTTACGGAGGAAAGATTCTTATTCCACTTCTTGTTCTTATTTATTTCCTCTTACCTCCATGGGGAAGTGGAACAGAATTCTTCCTCCGTAAGCTATGCGTGTTGTAAGAGACGACTAAAATGCCAGGAGTAAGAGGCTAGTAACTCTTTCTCCTGTATATATTACTAAATGTAAAAGGAGAAACTTTCGTTTTTCCTTATGGACCACCCCGCCTCGGTGGGATACGGCCGGTGTGTTGAAAGAAGAAAGAAGATATAATATAATAATATCTTTATTTCTACAAGTACATGTACAAGGTATACAGGCCTAGCTGACATTAATGACATACTGCTACAGTGGAACCTCTGGTCATGACCATAATTCATTCCAAAACTCTGGTTGTGGCCCAATTTGGTCATGACCCCAACCTAACTTCCCCATTGGATTGTGTGTAAATACAATTAATACATTCCAGACCCTTTTAGGTAGTAGGTTGGTAAACAGCATCCCCCCAGGGAGGTACTACCGTCCTGCCAAGTGAGTGTAAAACGAAAGCCTGTAATTGTTTTACATGATGGTAGGATTGCTGGTGTCCATTTTTCTGTCTCATGAACATGCAAGGTTTCAGGTACATCTTGCTACTTCTACTTACACTTAGGTCACATTGCACATACATGTACAAGCATATATATGCACACACCCCCTCTGGGTTTTCTTCTATTTTCTTACTAGTTCTTGTTCTTGTTTATTTCCTCTTGTCTCCTCTTGTCACGTAAGCTATGCGTGTTGTAAGAGGCAACTAAAATGCCAGGAGCAAGGGGCTAGTAACCCCTTCTCCTGTATAAATTACTAAATTTAAAAAGAGAAACTTTCATTTTTCTTTTTGGGCCACCCTGCCTCGGTGGGATACGGCCGGTTTGTTGAAAAAAAAAAAAGAGATATAATAATGTCTTTATTTCTACAAGTACATGTACAAGGCATACAGGCCTAGCTGACATTAATGACATACTACTAGAGTGGAACCTCTGGTCATGACCATAATTCATTCCAAAACTCTGGTTGTAGCCTGATTTGGTCGTGACCCCAACCTAACTTCCCCATTGGATTGTGTGTAAATACAATTAATACATTCCAGACCCTTTTAGGTAGTAGGTTGATAAACAGCAGCTGCCCAGGGAGGTACTACCATCCTGCCAAGTGAGTGTAAAACGAAAGCCTGTAATTGCTTTACATGATGGTAGGATTGCTGGTGTCCTTTTTTTGTTATATTGCCTACATATTTCTGTCATAATGTGGCTTTCCCATCTTGTGTTACTTAATGGTTGCACTGTCATTCTTGATACATGACAATTTAAAATCCTAATGGTGTGTTGAAGCTGAACA